TGTCTGCCGCAAGCGACACGGGGTTTAGGGTTTAGGGTGTTGGGTTTTGGGTCGGTTTAGGGTAGGGCCTGGGTTGGGAGGGTGAAGGGAGTTTAGAGTTTAGGGCCTTTAGGGTTTAGGGCTGAGCCAGACCCTTCCTCTGTCCCTTCTCCGTTCCAAGCAGCCTCACTTGATCAAAACACATGCAAAGCCTTTGCCTACAAACCTTTGTGCCTGGCCTGGCGCCGGGGAACCTTGGGCACCTTGCCTGGGCAAGACAGCAGGCTTCATACAACAGCGTACACTTGGAGTTGCTGGGGTCCACGCTTGGCTCTTCAACCTGCATGGGTCCTCAAATCTACGGACAAAGGTTGCCAGGCTGCAACCTCCAGCAGGCAGCTAGCAGTGTCCAATTTGCCAAGTTCGCCCAGTGTAGGAAGGATATGGAGAGACTGCTGCGTTAGGGTACTGGAGCTTGCAGGTCAATACTTGGAAATATGGAACAAGGCGAAGGCAACCCATCAAGCCAGCTTGAGGCAATTGCGAGATCAAGAATGAACGAGTCAGCACAGGAAGCACTAAATGCTTCAAGCAAGATGCCTAGCAAGGAGCATCAGGCTGCTGTGCAGGTGCAGGGCAAGCAAACCAAGTACAAGACACCACTGCATGAACCAGCTCCCGAACCTAAAACTACCAACGAACGTCCGGACAAAAACACGAGCATCCTGCTGTAGAATGGGGCTACTGCAGGGGGCTTTCACAAACTGACTCGAAGAAAAGCACTATCAGGTTGTGACGAAGAACGCAACCATTCTTACAGTCAAAGTGGCTCCTTGAGGGCACAGCTCTGATCCAAGTTTGCTACAGAATGCCATCATTCGATGGGTTGGAGGAACCTAAGAGAGCTCAATGCACCTGCATAGCAGGCTAAAACAGCTCACACGAAAAACGAGGAGACTTGTCAAACTGCATCCTTCTGCTTGAAAACAAATCATATTTGCATTTATGACCGGCTGCCCAACAAAACAAAGGAATGCACAAGTCTCATGGCACCAGGGTGCAACATGCAACATGCATGCGTAATGAATTGCTTCTTGAGTTGCGCATCCAGGTTTGAAGATGCTATGCAGACTGAGATCGAGGACGGCCAAACCGTGGCCTCTGTCCGGGCATCTCGGTGTGGTATGGCAGTCGGACAAGCCCCAACTCTTCTGCACCTGAGCAAACACTTTCTCAGAAACTAAAGCGGCAACCTCAAACTGCAAGATGCAACTTTGCTGTGTAGCTCAAAGATCTCAGAGCTCCAAAGGCTACCAGGGCCGCACTCGGCAGTTCCGAGTTGACAATTCCACTGCCACCGATTCTTGGGCCCAAGCTCTGATTCAGAAGCTCATCTTCCAACTGCTCTAGCTCGTACGCCAAATCATCGAAGTCATCGCCTGAACAACTGACAAAGGTCGACGCGTGAGCAGAGAAGACACCAGATGTCTGTTGTCTCTGGCAGTCACATGCAGGCTTGACGACATTGCACTAGGTTTCACGCTGATATAATTACGCTGATTGAAGTGATCTCAACGTGACTTGCACATAGCAAGGGTGAGCGTATCACACAGCAGCCACGCCTACAACGGCCACAGCCTGTTCCTGGAGCTTCACTGCCTCTTCCTGCGTGAGATCGCATGCTTAGAGCTTTCTCAGCAGGTTGTGCGCGGGCCTGCGCTGCTTTGAGTTCTACGTTGGCTTGACCAAGCTGCTCCTGCAGAAGGCATCACACATGTTTGCAACGCCTCTGCCAGTGCAACTACCAGAAAACTGGATCTGCAGCACTTACCTTGCACATCCTTGCACATCAGTCCTTATATGCTCTAACAGGGCACACCGCAAGCCCTTTGGGACAGTTGGTGAGTGCCTGAAGATGCTGCACTCGACCATGAAGAACAGTTAGCTCCTTTCATTGACGTGTCTGCTTGGGTGAGTGGCTTGGACAGATATCCTGATTGAAGCTCCTGATTGAAGTTCGACTTCAGATTACCTTCGGCAGCTTGAACTTCCTGCGGAGTGCATCACACCGAGCACTTGGCGAAATATTCTCAGAGCTGAGCACAGGCACCAAACCAGGTTCTAGGTGATTGCTGTCCATGGGATGCTCTAGGGCGCTCTACATGCGCCAAGTAAAACTATTAGCAGTCCTCGACCTTTCGCAGCAGCTGCCGACGCTCGCGCTCACGAGCCTCCTCAGCCGGCCGCTCTGACCGGAAAGCCTCCACTGCCTGCCCATTCTGCAAAGAATGTGCACAAGGTGCCAAGCACTGCAAACAAGATGGTTCGTAACCTCTCAAGATCGGGGAACAGGTGCTTCCCTGCTCAGACACACTTTGAAACCAAGAAACTTGTTTACACATTGATTCAAGCCTGGCGACAAGCATGCATGACAAAAAAATGCGCAAGCAGCGGGAAATCATGAAAACCTCCGTGCATATAGACCCAGCATACATACATTCGGCTGACAGGCCCCATCTAGTCTCAGCATTGACTTGTAGCAACTCTGATGCAACATGTTTTTCGTCCGTCCACCTGCTTCAGGGCAATGTTTGGCTGCAGCGTGCGACTTGTCAACGGGAGCTGGGTCATTGGAGCAAGAAGCGAAGGTGGCATCTTCCTGGCATTCAGCGTGCGGTGTCAAACACAGCTCACAAATTCAGCATGCAAGTGGTGGCTGTCCTGCTAGAGGGGGCGATGTTGCCAGGGACATCATAGAACTCGCGTACCCTCAGGAGAAAGCCCACAGCCTTAAGGCTTTAGTCAACAGTATACGTGTACGTCGAGCATGGCCGCGCCTGGCATCATGGGCCTTGAACCAATCCAAAATGCATCCACGGCAGTATGAATGACCGTCTTCTGTAAAGACTGGATCCTCACTCAATAAACGCACCGCACAGTTCCAGCAGACTGCGCCAAGCAGAAACGATGCACCCGCATTTAATCCTTGAAAGGATCTCTGCAGATCACGCACTGCAGGCCGTGTGGGATTGGAAGCCTTAGTCAAACATTCGTCACAGGCAGGAACCAAACTGCTGATGCTGGGGCATGACCAAAACAAGCTGCACATGCCAGCAATTCACAGACTGTGACAAGAAAGCTTTGCCTGCAACTCCCACAATTTCAATCTGCATAGCTCCGATGCGTAAGCGCTCAACAAATCCTCATCGATTGACAACGTCTTTTCTTTCACCTTCTAGCCCATGCTTCTTCCATGTCCAGGCGGAATGTAGATTCATGAGGCTCATTTCCAGCTACCGATACGCCGATACACAACGTCAAAAGAGCTGCAAGCAAGCGCTGGCCTTGGGCTTGGGTTTGCTTTTCTTTTTTGCCTGCACTGCCTGAGTGCGACCGGGAAAGGGAGCTAGCAACATGCAGCAGCTGGCTTCCGGTTTGCTTAAATGCCTGGCCCCTGGCCTCTGTGCACGGGGATGCTGCCAACGCAGGAGCAGATCTAGCTGCAGCAAGATCCCGGCTGGGACGCGAGCCCTGCCAAAAACAGGCTTTGACGAGGATTGAGCAACACGATTGCATAGTCTTGTTAGCATGTACAAGTTCAGAGCTGTCAGCCTGAGATTGTCTTGACACTTGGCCATTTGCGGATGCCCTGCTTGCAGCTGGCCTCACCTGCGACAACACCAAAATTTGCCTTCGAAACGAAACATGGACGTCAAGCATTCGCCTGCACCGCATATCCATTCCTAGGCACACCTGACGGAGCATTCATTGGGTTGAGAAGAAGAATGGGAGGCGAGAGTCTCGAACCAACAGCCACAGAACACTTTGATGGATCGCGTTCAGCAAAATATCGTGTTGTCACGTGCTGTTTCAATCAGGTGAAAACAATTTGCACTGTACTTCCACTTGGTCACCCAACTGGCCACTTATCACACGGACACAAGAGCTGGGCCGCTGACAACTGCATGTTTCTTTGCAATTGAGCGGAATCTATCACACCAAAAGCATGCATGAATTCAGGAAGCCTCTTGCAAAGCGTCTGAGGAAAGGAAAAACGTGGAACATGACCAACCCAAACATTAACAAAAGTGCAGACTTTGGATGTGCAAATCACCTTTTGCCAAAACAGTCCGCATGCTCATATGGAGGTCGAGGTCCATCTCTTGATTCGATATATCCAAATCTTACATCGTTATTCGTTCACTTCGCATAAGCGCTCAAAGGACTCACGCACAATATTCTTTCCAGTGACGTGCACGAGCAACATCATTGCCGATCGCACTCGGACTGCGGCGCACATTTCGGGAAGGGTGGGTGTCAACTGCAGCATACGCTGCACACATAAAATCCACGAACCAGAGGTACCCACCCAAAATGGCATCTCAGATAGCCGGTTGAGCATGCCACGGGTTCGTTTGAGCATGGAAAAAATTTCATTGCATGAAATCTTGAACAACTCAGTCAGCTCGGTCGTGGGAGAAAAAAGCTCGAGGTCAGTCTCTTCATGCGATACATCCAAACATATAATCTCATCAATCATTCATACTTTTCATTGATCAAAGTCATGCGAAAGACTCACACCCATTTATTTGTCTCAAGTTAACTGAGGACCAGCGGGAAACGGGCCGGGGAGGTCCCACATTGTGTGGAGACCCCGAACACGAACACAACAAGTGGCGCGCACATGCAAAATCATTGCCAACCGCACGGACAGTAGCGCACATCCACCCACCTTCCCAACCGCCCATCTGAGCCTATTGCAATCAAGTGATATTGGTCCACCCCATTTAGGGTGTGCGAAGCCCCGGATGAAGCGTCAGCTGGATTTGAGCAAATGTCCCCGTGCTCGACCCTAGGATTAATTCGGGCGCTGTCACGCAGCGGGGGAACATCCGAAACGATGTTCAAATCACCATCGTTCGTGCTTACCCCGCTCACCTTGGAATGCCACGCACCCTCATTGTCACCAAACACGATCACCTTGCATCCTTTCAACAGACCCGACCAGCTTTCTAGGCCTGGCAGAGATGGCAAAACATTCGACCGCAGAAGATTGGCTCGAACTTCCTGATTTGCTCAACGTCACAACGTTTGCTACATGGGTCTAGCTAAAGCAGACGATGAACGACCCACTCGTGGAAACAAGAATTCCCCCTACGCGACGTACAGATGCGCAGCCCGGTCAGACACAACACGGGCTTTACCGGTCTCCTCGGCGTAGTTGGATTCTTGGAGATTTGGGAGGCAAACTGCAGCCTGCTGCCAGCCTCGCGGAAAACGAAGCTGCGAAATCTTCTGCGGCATTCGCTCGAGGAACAGGCCAGGGGCCCAAGGGCCCAGAGGCCCAAAGGAATCCACACGTCGCTGTCGAGCTCGGACGCCTCTTCAGTCACTGGATCCACGACCGTTTCTGCCAGCTGGACTTGCGCCGCCACCTTTACTAGGAAGCGAAGCCGGGTGTTCAACATGTTCTGGATGTGAGGCTCTGCCAGGCGGAGCGTATCATTGTTCAAGAAGGGCAGCCCTGGAGCGTCCACTGTTGTTTCCATGCTGAAGCCTTGCTGACTTTTGGGTAGATTGCGCCCACGGGTACTGCTGCAGGCGGCGGAACTGGATCTGCAGGAGGCCCGAGACGGACCAGGGACACAATTGCAGGTGGCAACCCATCGGAAACTTCGTGCCGCACTTGTGCATACCCTCAGATTTCTGAGTCACGCTCAGTGTGTGCCCACGACCTGAAAAAACGTGTTTTTTTGCGTTCCGCTGCTGATGGAGCGAGACCTTTCAAGAGTTCATTCCATATAGAATCCTGGAATATTGATTTTTGACGGGGCCCCCAGCCAGGCAAATTGATCACTGGAAGGGGGGCCGGTTTGTCCTTGCGAAACCAACATAACTGGGGGGAAAACACAAGGAACTTGGGGCCTTGGGATGCCGCGGATGAGGTTTTGTGAGCGGTTGGCGTCAAGGTGTTGAAGCATCTGGCTGGGCCGGCTGCGCATCCCTGCTCCTGCCGGCCTTCCTCTCCCCAGCGGAGGTTATCAAATGGAGCGCCAATGATCGCAAGGTTGCAGCGAAAGCTCGAAGTGCTCCCTTTTATGACGAAGCCCCTCCAAGCAGGCCCTGGTGCCACCCACAGAGACAGCCGAAAGATGGCCGACATAGAGTTGGACTGTTCCATACACCTTAACAACCCTGTTTTTCTCGAGCACATTGACATTTTTGAGAACTCCAACGCCGGCAAGGTTGGCGTATATGTCTATGAACCGGCGTCGGCAGAGCGCCTTCTTTCAGATTCCAAGGTTTTACGCCCCCTGAGAGAGCCAGCTGTCTGTGGGGAAACTCTATGAGCACGAGATCGTCCTCTTGCTCCATCGCCAGCACTACAGTTTGGTTCTGTGTGGTCGCACTGCTCCTGCCCAAGCTTACCACAACAAGCTGCCAGAGACGCGGTAACCTCTTTTTTATTTGGCAATGCGCCGTGAAAAAACTTCATGTCAATATATATTCCCATCAAGAAATATATAAACAAAAAAATATCACTCACTCAATATAAGATATACTGCAGTGAGCACAAGGAGATCGGGCACCTCTCTTTTCCCAAAAGTGGGGCAGAATCCGAAGCGTGAGACAACTTCCCCAACATGGGAGGGTGGGCAAAAAGCTTCTGCACCTCTGAGCCAGAAACTTTACATCCACAACACTCATTCCCAGCAGAGCATGGAAATCAATTAAAATGTCATTCAAATCGCCGATTTTTTCTCAAATAAAAATCTGCAATTTTTCCAAAATAAGCTTACATCCATGCAAGATGGAGGTTAAGCTTATTTGGAAAGTCGCCGTGAGAAAACTTCATCTCAATATATAGATATATGTTCCCATCAAAAAATGTTTACGTTTTCCTTTGTGGCTGATTTGGTAGGGTGGGAATAGAAATGTCTCAACAAAGAATGTCATTCATCAGAAATATTTTTCCAAATCCCTCAATCCAATATATGGTATTCAAATCACGCAGCACTGAGACATGTACAGAAACAAGCGCACAACTGCACAACACTCGGACAAGGGACTTCATTCGGCTGAATGGGGAAATCCGACGCGTGTCTCCCACACATCCCCATGGTTTCACAAGGCACTCCTGCCAGCATGAGCACTCCGCTCAATCCCCACTCAACCTATGGGCCCATGCAGCCTCGGCAACATGATACCTGAGAAAGGACAGCAGTGGTCCTCAACGACACACTTGGGGAAATTCTGAAGGAGCTCTGACCATCGAACTCTGGACGGTCCATCTTTTTTCAACTTTCAACGGCAATGGTCTGGTCTGACCTACTCGGTGGCAGCAAACCTAATGGGAATGAAACAAGTGAAGGTGAACTGTGGGTGGGTGCTGCAGCGCACTGGGCACAAGTAAGGGAAGGAGATTTTTTGAACTGCGAAAGCTCCGGTCGGAGCCGTCTGCACCAGCAGCATTTCAACATTCATTGTCGTTTTGCTTTCTGAGGTTTATTAACAATGCTTATTGCTCAAAGAACCGTGCTTGAGCCGTTCAGTAAAATCAACACAAAGCGTCAAAAGTGTCAAAGCACTGCAACTCGTCTTCGTTCCCATTCCTCGGACTTTTTCCCACAGTGGGGCGAATCATCTCTCTCCGAATCGTTCTGTCTGAACCATGTTCAGCTCATGCCTTTTTCATTGACATTGTCAACGTGCCCAAACAAGAAGGCACAAACTATCCGTGACGGGACGGCGAATGCTCATCCCCTCACTGCCCAGCTACACATAGACCTTAGTAAGACGGCCTGTCAGGCAAAAAGACAGGGCTTTCGGACTGCTTGCAAATTGAATTCCGCGCTTCCGAACACGGAGTGTCCGCTCAGAACCTGCATAAAACAATGCCTGCCAAGCAAAGCTTCCAGAACTGCTCACGCACTGGACACAAAGCACTGAGCTTGGAACTGCTACACACTGCTAAGTCCAGCGAGACTCAGCCCTTTTCAGAGGCCTGCTTGAAGTGCAGCTGAGCAGAAAGCTGTTTGACAAGGGTGGGCCAGGGTGGGTCAAAAACTAAAACAGCATGTCTGAACTTGTTCGGGGTCACTGCTCCAAGTTCAGCTATTCCCTTTCTCAGCTTCTGCGAGCCACTGGCGCGCATGCTCACTCAATTGTCAAACTCAAACAAAGCATGCATGAAAACTTTGGACAAACTTGCAAGGCTCTTAAGTAACCACTAAAACTGTTCATCAGTTTTTTTTGAGACGCAGCTTGGTCCTTGTCAGAGACTGAGGACTTTGCCTAGCGTAAGCCACCCTATTGGCGCCTCGCAGCGCTGCCATGCAGGCGCCCACAACTCAGCATCTCTCCCAGTGGATGGCAGGACCGCGAAGAACACCTACCCCTATAGACAAGACTAAGAACGTCCTGTACGTTCGGAACGCTGCACCTCGCAGCTATCTTGGTGAGACGTGTCGTCAAACCTAAGAAGAGGAGATCTCTCATCCGGAGAAGAGGTGAACCCTCATCCGAGAGGCTTGGTCCTTCGACCTGGAGTTACACAGAGCTGACGCAGAACACCAAGTGCGAGTTCTGACTAAAAAGGCGGTTGTCGCAAAGGTTTCGCTGACGTATTGTCATCCGTAAGATATTCCTGCGCGCCATCAACGAGGCAC